AAAAATCGAGGTCATCCCCCCCCCCCCCCCGCCCCAACTACAAATTTGGATACAGGCAAATCCCCTGAAAATAGGGATGCTTTGTTTCTCCAGTTATGGATGACATTCAGCGTGAAATATGCATTTCTCTACATCTGTCTAGGGGAGGAAAGTAGCTGAACCGTAAAAGTGAGGTGTGCAGCTGCTACTCTTATTTATATTATCAATAATAATATCTTTTCCAGTTTGAGGTTCCCTTTTAGGTAGCTAAAAGCTCATTTGGCTAAGTTGTATATACAAAGTTTTCTGACTTTTTTTTTTTTTAACAGGCTGCAGTGCTCTCTCTTTCTGAAAAAGACTTTGATGCAACCATTGCTAGGGGGATCACCTTTATTAAATTTTACGCTCCATGGTAAGAAGTTTGCACCTGTTGTTGGTCAGGATTATTGCTGGTCTAAGCCGTCAGTGCATTAGTTACTGAAGGTCTCTGAGTTGTGTGTATTACTGTATTGGTGGATCTAAAACATGAATTAACTGAAGAATGTGTGTGTTGGCAAGAATTACAGCAAAAAAGCTCAATCTGTTTTAGCTTTCTTGGGATGTCTCTCTCTGGAAAGGCTGAGAGAACAGCTTTACTGTGTCAGCCTCCAGGTAAGGCCAGGGAACAAGGATAGTGAAGCTTTCTTTGCAGGTTTAGTGTACTCCTATCCCTTGATTAGGGTAAGGAAGGTGAGGGGAGTGTATCAGCAGTGTTAAAAAAGGAGAGCATGCTGGCCTTTGGACCCTGTCCTGCCACAACCAGGCTCTCTTGGAAAGTCCCATTTGAGCACCTGGGAATTGGTACAGACTATAGAGCTATGGATAATTGGCTGTTACTCTTGAAATAACTGCAAATTTGCAAAAGTGACATTTTTGAGATGTTCTTAAGACTGTATGTCATGTAATATGTTCTTCTAGTAGCCCAAGGTAGAAATGTCCAGTGCAGATGGTGTAGGTGTAGACACCCAATGGAAAGCATTGGCGGGGAGGGAAGTAATGTCCTGTCTGGCGTCTGCCACTACTGGCACATCCAGCATAGCCTGAGACCTGAGCCGGATTAAGACCTCAGTATTACAAACTCGTATAACAAATATTTCCCCCCTTTTCTTGCTGTTCCCTTTCTAAGACAAAAAGAAAGTTTTAAGTTTCTCTCTCTGGTTTATAGACTTCATCTTATTTGTGCCTGGATTGAATTGAATGAAACTTGCATGCCACCTTTCGTATCCATTGCCCAGTCTCTTTTAGCCAATAGAAGGAAGCCTAGCATAGGGGGAGAGATTAAGATCAAGCTGTATTTCACTGTATGAAAGATAACACATCTCCGATTTCATCACTAGCCATCCCATTAATGCAGTATATAAAACATAAAAAGATCTTTTGTTTGGGGTGGTAAAAGGTCACCATTACCAACACAAGCAAATGCAACCCATACTTAAATGTGGTCAGGAGTATCAAAATATTGCAGCTTAACTTTGACAGTAGGCATGAAAGTTTTTCTTATTGTAGGCAAGAAGTACCAGGGAAAGTTTCGTTTTATGTAATCTCAATGATGCAGTCTTTTCCAGTGTTGTCACCCTTCTTACCACAGTGTGGTTTGCCGCTTGAGAGCCACTTCTATGCTCTGTTACATCTGAAAGATCTGGTTTTGGATGTGGGCAAGTATCTGCCACCACTGTGTTAAGAAATACCCTCTCCATACAGCCCCTCCTTCACATTTACTGCTCTTTCTTCACTCTCTTTATCCTCTCTGTGCGCTGTGAGGGACTGAGACTGAGACTCAACCTACTCTGCTACTACACCACCAGCAGAACTGGCTGGTAAATTCATTTACACCTGTGCACAAAGCAGCTTCTAGTCTGATTTCTGAACCCAGGGCTTGTTGGCATATGTAGGAGTTTATCTGAGAAACTTTTTCTGGAAAAGTTTGAGATAAAGAAATGCTACCCTTTTAATTAACTTTTCTTAAGAATACTTCACTTTAACCATCTCCTTATCTTGTGAGATTCTAATGGGATGGTGCTACATTTCACAGATACGATCAGTGTTGGGTGGCAGGCTGAGAAATGGTGGTTCAGGATGCAGAGAGTCAAGTTCTTTAAACCAGTGTGTGCTCCCTGGCTGCAACATTCAGAAAGCCACCATTTAGGAAAATACTTCCTGTATTTATGTAGCTGGTATCCTAGTTTTAGCTCTGAAAGTCAGGCTTATGTATACAGTTGTAGTGCTCTGCCTATAAATGACCTTTTTCTCTTCCAAGTGGGTTAACTTATGTAGGGCTCAGCAAACACTATTATGTTGCTTGCTAGTTCTGTCTTTCAGTTAGTTTTGGATAAATATTCATGTTAACTTGCATGGTAAGCATAAAATCATCCTGTTCTAGTAGTTTTTGTGCGTGGTCAGAAATGCTTTTATACTGTCACTGTGTATTAACAAGGTGGTTTAAATACACACTGGCTTGCATTAAGAAAACTTTTGCTGGGACATCTTTCATTATTTTTGTAAATGCCCTGATCCAGCCTTGAGGCAATTATGGGGCTGTTTTAATAACCCAATTAAGGTGCAGCTGGGTTAGAATAGAATGAGCAATGCAGCTTTAAAGTCGAAAGTGCTTTGGGAGTTCTTCTTGAAGGCAGTAAGAAGTTCACGTTATGAACTCAGCTAAGCCAAGTTCAAAATATAAACAAAATTAATACTTTACTATAGTTCCTGACATTTTACAGTATCATTTTCTCTCTTGACACTAGTGTTTCATTGTGTGTACTCTGTGGACTGCATTCTCACGTTACTGTAGAGACATAAGGGAATAAAATAGAAATAGGCTTTTTGGTGTTACTGATGATATAACTGGAATGATTCTCTATTTAATACAAAGCAGAATAGGGCCTGATATTCTTTTTTTTCCATCTGCGAAGTGAAGCTTATTGACTATCAAACAATTCCATTGCGGATCTACCTGAAAGTACAGTGGCAGTGGTTAAACTTCAAAGTACCTTCAGTGAAAAAGTGCATTAAACCACTGGAGTGTTTCATAAAACCAGAATATGCGTTGACAAATGCCTCTATTAAAATTGAATTTCCAGCATTAGGTAATGCTACATTAGTCAAGGAGGCCATTAGGAACTGGAAGAAATTTAATAGGGAAATTAAAATCTCTTTTAAATAATTGAACTCAGACTACATAGCTTTAGCATAACTGGCATACGCTACCTGAAAACTTCCATTTGTACTACAGACATTCTATGCCTTACTTAGAAACAAACATGTTTTAAGTGACTTTTTTTTTTTTCCCTATTTAAATATTCTCTGTGCTCATCTTTATTTGGCTTCATATTCCTCTGTAGGGTAAAATGTTAATGCACCAACATCCAGAATACCATTCCAGATGAGACTAATGAAGGCTAGAAACTACTTCAGTGCGTAACTTACATAAAATCACTCATTTTCTTTGCTCATTTACAGACATAATAGTGCAAGGGCCAAATCATTAGGGGATAGGAAAGGCAGCTAATTAAACTTACAGCTATTGCAGCAAGACAGTAGAGATAAACTGGAAGGTGTATCTGCTAAACAAATCTCTCTCTTTTGTTTCTAGGTGTGGTCACTGTAAGAACTTGGCTCCAACTTGGGAGAACCTTGCCAAAGAGCAATTTCCAGGTTTGACTGATGTCAAAATAGCAGAAGTAGACTGCACTGTGGAACGTAACGTCTGCAACAGATTTTCTGTAAGTGTGAGAGGTCTGAAATGAACAGGATAGTATTGTGTACCAAATGTTGGAGGCTCCAACGTGCAGCCAAGCCAACTGCTGCATTGCGAGTGCCCGGTGACAAAGCAGCTCCATTAGCCAAAGAAAAGGTAGCTCAGAACAGCACCTGGTGACACTGTTTCTTTCCTGGACTTTTTGTTCAGACTCGGTCATTCTCATTATTGGCTAAAGCTGAAGAAGTCCCTAATTTAGGAAGCCTCCCTCTGTGAAAGTACCAAAGCAGTCTTGTGGTAGCTGATGCAAAGTTCTGTTCCTAGAAAAAAAAAAGTCTTTTGGTGCTGGTAAGCAGACAACCAAAGACTGAGCTGGAGCTGCCATTCCAAGAGCCTAGAGGAACATGTATTATCCCATTCACTTACAAATGTTGAGAAATTGCAGGTTGGCATTGGAAGTTCTAGTGTGGTGTTTGGGTTTGGGTTTTTCTTTTTAAATTAAAATGGCTTATTATTTTAGAGGGGTTTGGTGGCTTTTTCAGAGTCAGGTAAATAAAAGTGAAGAATACCAGTGAGTTTGGACATTAGTAACAAGTTTGTGGTGGCTTTTTTTTTTTGTGTGTGTGTCTTTTGAAGGTACGTGGTTATCCTACACTTCTGCTTTTCCGAGGTGGAAAGAAAGTCAGTGAACACAATGGAACAAGAGACCTTGAATCCCTGCATAGCTTTGTCTTGCGTCAGGCAAGGGATGAATTGTAATAAAAGTCTGGATGCTCCGTCCCTGGCTGTCTTTGTACAGTAGCTGAGGGATTTCAATCATTGCTAACTTTTCAAATAGTGTATTTGGGGTGGGAATTGGGGCATTTTTTTCTGTTTGTTTTTAGGAAATTGAGTGTACTAAACATTGGTATCTTCCCTCTGTGTGTGTGTTAAAGACATGCTACCCTGTGTGTGAAGGAAAACTAACAAGTAGTTACTGTGGAAATTGAGAATATTTTCAGCATTGGTAGTATTACTGCATTTCTGCGTTCCCGCAATGAAGTGTAAATGGTTTCCTTTGAGACTAAAATACATTAAGAAAACCAGCTTAAGGGCAGTAGTAGAATATTTTTGTCTTCAGGTTAGATTTTGTTAAAAAGTAATCCTTACAAACTGCTCACCATTGCTAGAAAGGTAAAAGCTACAGCTGTGTTGAGTCGCTTTTGCCTCTACAACTGTACTTAAACCCTATTTGTCTTAATATGGCTGCTGGTTAAGAAATGGAAAGTCACGGGAGGTTGAAAACACACACACCTTTGGAAGATACCACCGCGAGCTGGTTGTTTCCTGTTAATCCTCTCAGCACGGGAGGTCTAGCCATAATGGAAGAGATGGTACTGTAACATGTGCCTGAACATTACTGATGCCATAGTGTCTGTGTGTCAGGTGGATTTTTGTGGGCTGCGTCCGTCCAGCTCCAGAGGAGTAACTATGCTCTACTTATATAGAGCCAAAGTGAATAGGCGCTATTATAACTGCTCCGTTAATATTAAATGATCAGTTAGACTTCAGAGCTGATGACATATGCTTCCTACCCATGCCTGAATACAGACTTTATGCTGACCTGCTCCTTATTCGGAGTACTTGGAGAACAACAAGAAGTACAATGTTTAATTTTGTTTTCCATTCAGCTGTTCTACAGTAGTGTAAAATAGTTCCCCACTCTTCTTGAGCCTTAACCTTTTTCCAAGCTGTAAGCATTGATAAGTCTGAATGCTAGGACCATGCACTCTGTGGTGCCTTGGATTATAATATGGACCTGTTCTTTGGTGCGTAAGATGTTCCGTGTTAGACATAATTGAAAGCCAAAGAATTTACACTGCAGAAACTGTCATGATACAAACCCAACAGCAAACCAAGGACTGAATTCTGCTGTCTCGTGTGCACATAAACTCATGGAATGAGGATGGCTACAGGCTAATTTGACTAATCTGTCAAGATGCTGATTTTTTTTCCATCATCTGGAGGAGACTTTTTTTTTTTAAAAAAAAACAACCAAAAAAAGGCAAAACAGAAATGAACTTTTAAATCAGTGAATTTGTCCTGGTACTTCACTTCACTGTCTGTCCAGAACTTTTGATTCTGTTCAATCTAAAAATGTAAGGGTGAAAAAGCCACAGTGAAAGCTGTACTGGCAGATGTATTAGATCAATGTATATACTTCTGCCTTAAAGGAAGCCTTTATTATTACGTTTTTAACAACTTTCTAGTGAAGCAAAATCTCATGAGTTTCTTGTATAAAATCAAAGTGGTACAATTGTTTACACTGAGATTTTTCTAAATAAAAACTTTTTTAAAAAGCAGTCTTTCTATAAATGATACAGCACAATGAATATACAGTGACAAGTGCAATAAATTATAGCTTGTATTTACAAGAAGCCTTTTAAATGCAAGAATCAGAGGTAAGTGCATTTAATACAAGTTTAATATTGATCAAAACAATTTGCTATTAGCTTCTGCTAGACAAACTGTGGCTACGCTGTGATTGTATCCTGTATACCAGTTTGTTAGTTGCGTGAATTGAAGGGGGAAGGTTGGCCAAAGACTTGCATATGTTGTTGACGTTTTGTCTTCCTGTAAATAAATTGTCCAGCTAGAAAGTGAATGGCCCCTAAACTTTTACGTCTGAATTACAGCTGTGGAAGCATCCTAACTTCCTTCCTGGGCCAGTGGTAGTAGGTGAGGCAGCTCCGCATGGGGAGTGGAAGGAAGTTGCATAAGAACAAGTGTATAAAGTTATATTGCTCAGTCAAATAGTGAACTGGAAAGACCAGCCAGGGTCGGAGTTCATGCTAGTGTTTCTAACACAGGGTGCAGCCAAGCCATCTTATACTTGCAGGATCAGACTTAAACTGTGCTTGGAAAAGAAGAGAACTGAAACATTTGCTTTGGCACAATTTAAGATGCTTACTGTCATGACAGATTTCAGAGGAGACTAACAGTCTAGGTGTAGTAACTGGTCCTTCTAGACAAAAGGCAATTCCTAACCTTAGGAATTTTTTATTATCTCGTACAAGATGTACGCTCTAAGTCTTAAGTACTAACACCACTTTCTTTACTATAGCTTCCCTGTCTCTCCTCTTGTCTTTCCCTCCCACCTTCCCCCCCCCCCCCCAAAACAAAACAAAACAACCCCAAAACATCTCCCTTGTTTTGGGTGTTGGGTGCCCATCTGGTAAAACTGCAGCACACATCCAAGCAACTTCTAAAGGCCAAGCTGCTCTGTGAGATTAAGACCATCTCAAGCAAATAAAGTGTGTGTGGGCACATTGCTGCTTTGCGCGGCCGGGCTCTGCAGAGCTGAGCAACGACCATGGCATAGGGTCAGTCTGTAAGAAGTCCATCAGTTTGCTTGCACCCCAGCATGTGGTTCCCACACCCCTTCCTCCAACAAGGCACATACATGGTGTTCTTAAAAGGTGGTTCATCAACTTTTTTTTTTTTTTTTCCTCCAAGGTTAGGTAGTTCATGAAAGCATGGAAGGTAGTATGGAAGTTCATAGTAGAATCACAGAGTCTGTGTGAAGACCGTTTGTCAGTGACATCCACAAGCTCTTACTACCATATTCCTGTATTTCTTCAAGATTACGTTAGAATTGTCATCGAAATAAAGAACAGATATGGCATTTAGTTTGGTAGGTGCACAGCATGGTTTGGGAACATAATCAGGATTCATAAGATGAACCTGTTGCCAAAAAGAAAACAGAACTGAGACAATTGTAACTTGTTTACAAATTCACCTATTGCTTTGGCATCGAGCTTTCTGGAGACTTACCAGCGTTTGTACAATGGCATGATTGGTTGCATTCATATGGGCGTTGAGTGGGAACGAGCACTCCCCATCACAGTAGTTGGCTGCATAGCCCTTTGGAGCGATTATCCAGTCCTTTTTAGGAAACAAACAACGTGATTCAAATTAAAAAAGTTGCCAACTTATACATACAACTGCATGCAATTAAGAGCAGCTGAAAATTTTCCACTAACTTTTTTCTTGAGGGTGAAAATGTGTTTTCACTGAAACTCTTAGAGTTTGGGTTTTGGTTGTTGGTTTTTTGTTGTTTTTTTTTTTGAAAGCCATGACTTTTCCATGGATACACTGATTTCAGTGTCCAAAGAATGGTGCACATCTATGCACAGCTTAACTGCCATGAACTACAAGTTTCAGTCCTAAAACTCTTGCTGGGTTGCCTTGTGGGGATTGTAGTTTGGATGCCTTTATGTTCCAGTGTTTCCTGCAGGTTAGGCCCACTGGCTGAACTACGTTTCCTAGGTTGAATGACAGCTTCAGCTCATGTCCTCTCCTGGAGAAAATCATGTATATGTGTGCACACATGCACACTTCAACCAGGATGCTCCAGAAAGGGAATATAAAACTGGACTGGTGCCTCACAGACACTCTAGTTTATACACTCTTACGTGCTAGCATGCCAAGGCCACTGGGGGAAATTTTAGCTGCATAACGGCTCCACCACCTCTGCCAGACTGCTAAAGGAGGGACAGGATAGCCAGCCTGAGCTGCATCTGCAAGCAGGTGACCCTCGGTGCCAAGCTGAGTGCCATACTATGGAAGAAGGTGACTCTTCACCAAAGGGCTAATAAAAAAAAATGACAGCTTCTTTGCTGCTGACACAAAAGAGCCAAAAGTAAATTAAAAGCATTGCCAATTAGCAGGAGACATTTTGCCTCCCTTGGTATCAGGCTGTGCATGTCACCCTGCAGGAGGACATTACGGTATGCTTCACATGCATATAATTCTTAGATTATGTCCCCTTTACCTGAGCAGCCAGAGAGTGTTGGTGCAGCTTTGCTAGCCAAGTTTGCTGTTTGATTGCAAACATGAGGACACCTGGGCATAGCAAAACAACCCCTTCATTTTACCGTAATTTGCTCTCGGTAAACCGAGCTGCTTTTCATAAGACAGTCACTCTCCTGCTACAGAAGCCAGCACAGACTGTGTAATTAAATTTGTGGTTTAATGCTGTATAAGAATAAGGGGAACATTCTGCTAAAAAAAAAAAAAAAAAATTGATGTGTGTTCTGAAGGAGACAGCAGTGCCCAACAACTGCAGGGGGCTGCTACCCTGCCTCCATCATCTCCCTACAAGGTCTGGATTCCAGCTCCTGCAAGGAAAGAGCCCTGCTGGTCTGTGGCCTTCCTTTGGCAGCATCTTGCCTTTCTGCTCAAGGCTGCAACTAGAAAGGTGAAGGCAGTGCCTTTGAGACTGTGAACCTCACAACTGGAATACACTTCCTGCCTGGAAGCAGGGCAAGCGAGCTAAGGAGGAGGTGGAAAGACTGTGTACAAGTGAAAAAAAGAAAAGCCACTAACAAGTAATGGGGAATGGAGTCAGCATGCAGCCACCGTTGCGGTTAGTGGGCTGGAGTTGACATAAGCTATAAAAAAATGCTGCTGTCCCATTAGCTGGGAGAGGACTTTCATGTGTAGAGTATTACAGAAGCAGCGGGGCCAGCCCTGGCATCCTGAATCATAACCTGGTAAAAACATTAGCTGATAGAAATGGGACCTCCCTCACAAAAGTGCGGAATGAAAGAATTAAAAAAAAAAAAAAAAAAGAGAAGATGAGGGCATTCTTTGAAACATGGTGTTGACACTATGGCCTGGTCCTAAGTAACTAAACAACTCTCTGGCCTCATGGTGTTGCAACTAAACCCAGTCTTCAACTACTGCAGCCAGTGCTAATTGTGGGGCAGGGATGGAGGATTTCAGCACGGTAGCCAAGATTACAGTTAGGCTCATCACTAGAAAAACAACTTAATTTGGTTAAAATTGCTGCTTAGCATCATATTTTTTTCCTTATCATTAGAGGTACACAGATATGAGCCCTTTGCCTGTACCGTGACTTCCATGAGTGACAGAATGACTGTATACTTGAATCTCATGAAGTATCAAGCTTCCGCTGGCTCTTACCAAATGTCGAAACTATCAATATTTATTTGCCCTTCCTTATGACTGGTTTTAGTGAGGAGGCACAAGGGACATTTTAAAGCATAATGGCAGCCTTGGGTGGAATTACCCTGACATTGTTTAGATAACATTTCATAACAAAATGTCTCATTTACCCAGAGAGAAACATCACACACCTGCCATCCCAAGTCTTGGAAGCTAACGTAAAGCTCATGCTTTCTGCACGCTGTTTTTAAGTCACTGCTGTTGTAATCTGTTAAAAGAAAAAGGACAAACCAAGAATTTAGAAAGTAAAACAGGCAGAGCATCGCTGGAGGGCAGGGCTGGCCAGATGTGTGCATGCTGTGGGCTCAGCAGCGAGAAACGGCGCACTGCCTCAGCAACCAAAAGGATAAGGGTGTTGAGGGACATCCAATGCAGGGCTGAAGCTTTTAAGATGCCTATGGGAATGGATGCACCCAAGTAACAGTGACTTGGTTATAATTCCTTCAGCTGCCTTTAATAACTTGACAAACAGTGCTTGTAAAACACCTCCAGTAAAACGATGTCTTAAAAATAAATCGACTCCTTCAGCCTGGCACAGGCTACATCGCTGCCGGGTGCTCAAATTCACCCTGGTTCCTCGGCCCTGGTTTGCGATGTGTGTCACCCTAGATCGTAAGCTCAAAACACACACACTTACTGAGAGAATTACAACCCCAGGAAGGTTAATCATCACCTTGTGTCTCTGTACTGATTAGCAGAAGTCCTTAAACAGCTAAGAAGTCCCACAGGCAGTGAAGCTATGTCCCCATCCCTCTCTGTCCATTACCCCTAGCCTGCCCCAGACAGCACACATGGCTCCATGCACGACCTCTGCTCTTGGACCTTTACAAGCCATGCTCTGAAAAACAAGTTTCTCCTTCCCATAACCTGCTTATCTGCAGATGCCACAGGATTTGACACACTCTCAACATTAACTTGCTCTTTAGTGCCAATACTGCACGGAAGAGCCAGGGCGCAGGCTGCAAAGCCCCAAGCAGAGACCTTCCCTCTTGCCATGGCACAATGTATGAAGACCATGCAGGAGGTGCTCCCGATGGCCCTACAAAATGCAGCTTTTGACAGAGAGTGGAATTTCCCATTTATATTTGGAAAGAGAGGCGGCTCTGCACGTGAACACCTGGAACCGCAGCGAGCGGAGGAGCTGAGCCGTGACAGAGGGGCCTTTCACCCCCAGGTGGCTGCACAAATCCAACCTTGACGGGTGGTGGCTGATTTTGTCATGCCTCGGGTGGCTGCTGGACCTCAGCACAGCAG